CTGCTCTGATTCCCACCAGGTATTACTCGCCCTCAAACATGTCGATACACATCAACATTAAGCAAACAGATGATGACCCATGGCCTTACCTGAGTCACATTAAGAGATGTGAAGAAAGCACAAAGGGCAAAGGAAGCAGTGGGTTACTCCTAACAGAGAAAAGGAGAAGTGTATCGCAACCTTCACAGTACCTTCACAGTACCTTCACAGCGAGCAGCAGCTGTCCACAGTCACCACTTCACTTGACTATATTGTAAACAAAGAAAAAATGAATTCTAAAGTAATTATTACAGCTAATGTACTATATCAAGTTTTGACATTACTGGACTAAGTCTGGAAATCACATGGTACGTAAATCTATATAGTGTCTGTGTCCCAAACTGAAAGGGGACACCACCTGGTACCTGATCCAGGCCGGCTAGAAATATATCATATTGCCACCTAGATGTGTGAGTAGGGCGTGTATTTTATTTACTATTCAGGTTAATAGTAATCATTTCAAAAATCAAATAGTCACTTGAAGACAGAGTATTATATATAACAATGCAGCTGTTGTAATTAATTGGAAGTTACGAGAATCAGGTTTTCCATTGTGTAACTCAAAATTACCTAAGAAGTTTCTTTTCTTTTCTCTTTTCGTTTTCTGATACTTCAATATGTTGTTGACCCATGACTTAAGTTAAAAGATAGATTATGTTGAAAGGGACACGGGGAGTGATTGGAGAGGGGCCCAGGGAACTTTTTGTCACAATAGAAACATTCTATTACTTGATTGGAGTGATGTTTACTTGAGTTTATGCTATTTAACTTTAAGAACTATGAATTTATTTTATGTATAATATATCTCAACTTTTTAAAAAGAGTATTGGGGAAAAAGAAAAGTTAGTAAGTTTATAATATTTTCATACATAAGATTTCTTTTTTTCTGAATTTGAGCAAAGTATACACTTAACTTGAAAATTGAAGGGAATTATTCCTTTTAAAAATCTTTAAGCCTTGCTGCTGCTTGGTTTTTATATATAACAACGAAGCCTGGCAAGAAAAAGCTGCAGGTTTCAAGTATCTTCAAATGGCACCAAGTTGTCTCAGTGAGTGGGATGCTAACAGAACTGAAGAAACCATCCCTTCACTCAGGGCAAGCTGTTTTTAGCCTAAAAGTTCAGCCTACCATTGTCTGTTGATGTAAAAAAAAAAATGATTGATACAAGTACACCTCATTTTATACAAACTAAAGAGGGGGCTATTCAAGTACTTTTAATGCACTAAATGAGCTCCTCATTTCAAATAACTTTATGATGGCTTTTTTGGCTAAGTGAGGGACCTGTGATGATGTAGACGATCTACCATCTGTACATCAATTCTTAGATGCACACATTTTTAATATTTTAACATCTCCAAAATTGAAAAGCTTTAGACCACAGGCGGCGCCTTCCAGTGGCCATTGGCCAGGCAGAGACAAGACCGATGTGGCTCACACAGGCATTAATTTGGTTGTTTTCTTGACGACTTGACTTCTGGTGAGCTCATGAAAGTAGCAGCATCAAAATTTGCAGAATGGCAAAATGAGTATTAGCAACTTGGAAAAAATCCTAGAATTCTGCCATTAGTGGAGCATCTTTTTTTAAAGAAATGCTGCTTCACTGATGCTTTTGTTGGAACAAAGGATGACATATGTGGAAAAAGAGACACTGAGTTGACACATGATTCAGTCGTCAGACATAGAATGTGAAGTCATTTCAGGAATACTTTAACCAGTTATTTTGGTTATACTGTCCTGTTTATGTACACACAAGAGTGATTTGATCGTGTGCATCTAAATAAGTCCAAAAAAGCTTTTTCAAGAAATGTAAAGTAGACACTTCCAGTGATAAGGAAGTGGGCCATAGTACAACTGGCAGCACTTTTTCTTTTGCAGTGGCCCATAAAATAATGGCCCATCTTACAAGTGACAGCATCTTAGAATCTATTAAAGCTGATCTTTGCACTTTTTGTGTGTTGGCTTTTCAGGCAACAGGGGATGATGGAAAAGCAGGCAAGAAAGACTTGTCATCAAATAGTATATTAAACTGATAATCATAACAATACTGTGTTTTGAGTAGCTACTGCGGACCAGCTACTAAGTGCCTTATGTACATCATTACATGTAATCGCCCCCAAAAAGCCTGAGAGCGAGTTCTTACTGAACAGAATTTTATCTCTTCCAAGCCATAAAATAACATGACCAAGTTAAGATTGCAGAGCTGAACTGGAACCTAGTTTTGACTAATCCCTAAAGTTCTTGGTCTTTATGTAGTAGATTCTTGCCCTTTCTCTCCCCAACCCCACCTTCCCCACAAGTTCAAAGTGAAGGCTCACAGAGGGTGGAGAGAGAGAGAGTGCTAAGTACCCCAGCAGCATTCACCTTCTGTTCATGTTGTTCTTGAAGACAGCTTCGTCCCTGATTTGGTGAGGAGGTTGTTCCTTCCGTTATGTGCGACAGCCCAGGACCCGAACATCAAACCAGCCTCTTTTCTTGCCCTAGCTAGTTCTAACTGGGATTTTTATCAGTTGCAATGAAAAACACACTACTATAATCATTCACAGTTTTAATACATTTACACATTTTTCTTGTAATAATAAAATATTACTTCTAACACAGCCAGAGTTTGAGCCCTGTTGGCTCACTTCGTTAAACCGCACAAGGAATGGAGCTGGCTGTTTCAGTTACACCTGATTCTCTCTGGATTAAACAACACCCTGATCTGCACAGGGAAGAAGCAGAGAATGTGGCCTAAAGAACACGGGACTGTGAGCCAGCTCAGGTTTTCCTCCGAGCAGCTCTGTGTTTCAGGACAAGTTGCTTAACTCTGATGGAACTCAATTTCCTTGACTGTAAAAAGATGCAAATTACAAGATGGTTTCTAAGAGTCTTTCTGATTTTGAAATTTTGGCTCCTACAGAGATTAAAGACATCCAGATAATATATAGGTTAGTATGTGTAAGGAAATCCAATGGACTTCAGGGCCAGTTTTACGCCCAGTTCCTTTGGTAATACGTATTTTTTTCTTAATAGAATTCAAATTCAATGTTATTAGGTGATATGCTCAAGAAGATTAGAAGATAATAAGACAGTTTTGCTTAATGGCAAAAAAATTTTTTTTAACTTTAAAATACTTATGGATGAAATAAAAAAAATTGATATTCTAAACATTATCTCCAGAAACTATCTCAAAATAGTTTTCATACTCTAAGACTTGTGACTCAGGGAATGAAAACCACCAACTTCTGGAATGGTGCACTGAGCTTTTTATTCTTCGCCCAGAATAACAGCGCACATCCTTGAAATGGAAGTCAGATCTTTAAGCGATAAGAAGGATGTGGAAATGTTCTTGTTTTTCCTTATGGACTATTGATTTCAAATTTTAATACCAAAATAGATTATATAATTACTTAGTGATGACCTTCAAAACACCCGCATTACCAAGTGATTTGCAATTGTTAAAAATATTTATGCATTCAATCTCAGACAATCAGTACAATTTTATGAATCAAAACCTAAACTCTTTCGCCAAAATGTTGACTTGGAAAAACAAAACATGAAATGTGATTAGAAAATTATGATATTAAGTATTTCTGCCAAAACTAAGCATTTTTTCCAACAGAAGTGGAATTGATTCAACAAACTGATTTCAAGTTAAATAGACTGTACTTGAGGAGATAGGACTCAATATTTTTTTTTTACTGGTATCATGTAATTCCCTGAAACAGCGATTTCTTTCTTTGTTTTTTGTTTTTGTTTTTTGCTTTTTTAGAGAATAAATATCTTGTTGTTTAAGCCACTCAGTTCATAGTGTGTTTTTTTAAAGACACATTAAAAAATTTGTTTATTATTTATTTGGAAGGGGGAGGTAATTAGATTTTTATTTATTTATGTATTGTGATGGAGGTACTGGTGGGTGATTGAACCCAGTACCTTGTACATGCTAAGCACACACTTTACCACTGACCTATACCCTCCCCCCGGAGGAGCCATTTCCTAACTCGGTTCAAAGATGGCTTGGAAGTTTTTATAGCTTTCTATGACATCTAACTTGCTCGTACTCAAGAAATTATTCAGGGGCATAATTTCCCTCATGTGTTCAGTGCTTTGGGTAACATTTTAACAAAAGGAAATTAAGGAAGGGAACAAAACTGCCTTTACTGAATACCAGCGATGTCCACTGCCTTAGATGTTCACACCAACGGATGCGGGTCCGCAGAGCCACACGCTGGAAAGGGCTGCGCCAACTCGGCTTGCCGGCTCAGCCGCAGCGAGCACGCCTTCTGCAAGAGGAAAGGTGGCTTTTCAGAATCCCCACCCCCAGATCTCCAGGCATCACAGCATCTTAATTATTCACATGTTGCGAGGCCCAGATACTGTGCTAGTCCCAACAGTACATAAATAAATGACGGCCAGGAGGAAGCGGGCTCTCTGTGCAGCTCACAAGCGGCTTGCAGTGGTGATATTCAAAATATTAACCATCAACGCAGCTTGGGCTCTGACCAGCCTGACATAC